AAAAAAAAAAAAAAAAGAAGTGAATGAAAAGTGGTAATAAGCAGGAAAATGTGAGATCATTTTAATTGGGGAGAAGAGCAGATGGTGTAATGGTTACATCACCGGACTCCCACATAGTCGACCACATTCGATTCCAGGACCGGGCAGCTTAAAACTCATGCCCGGTGCATATGCATGCATGCCCAAAATCCCAAGAAGAATAGAGAATGGATCGCAGTGTGGCCGTCCCCCCTGCAAGGTGTTTTCTTACTTTCTGACTTTTTTTTTCTCTGTCTTTCTGGAGAGCACACATGCCTTAAGACAAAAATCTAAAAAAAAAAAAAGATTGAATTAAAAAATCCAGGGACCCCAGGACTAGCAGGTGGCATAATAGCTATGTCGCTGGGCTCCCATGCAGTCGATCGCAGTTCGAATCCCTAAGCCAGTGGCTTAAACTAATGCTGGGTATGTGTGTGTACATGCCTAGGACCCCAAGAGGAGAATGGAGAAGGGATTGCGGCGTGGCCATCCCCTCTGAGGGGTGATTTCTCACTTTCTGTCTCTCTGTCTCTGTCTTTCTGGCAAGTGCATGTACCCTATAGTAAAAAACCTCTCCCAAAAAAAAATAATAATAATCCATGTACCAGCAGATGGCATAATGGTTTCGTTGCTGGACTCTCATGTAGTTGACTGTGGTTTGAGTCCTGGACCTGGTGGCTTACAACTCATGCCAAGTGCATGTGCACCTAAAATCCTGAGAGGAAAATGGAAGAAAAGGGATTACAGTGTGACCATCCCCCCGGGAGGGGTGATTTCTCTCTTTCTGTCTCTCTCTCTCTCTTCAGCAAAGCACACATGCCCTACAGCAAAAAAATATCTCTCTTAAAAAATAAATAAATAAAAATAAAAAAGCACCTCACTCAAGGTATGTGTACATGCATGTGCAAAATCCTGAGAAGAGAATGGAGAAGAAAGGACTGCAGTATGGCCATTCCCTCTAGGGAGGTGATATCCCATTTTCTGTCTCTCTGCCAAGCACATGCGACCTATAGCAAAAATCTCTCTTAAGAAGAAAAGAACTGGGACCAGCAGTTAGCGTAATGGCTATGTCGCTGGACTTCCATGTAGTCGACCATGGTTCGCATCCTGGACCCAGTGGCTTAAAACTCACACCAGGCGCATGTGCGTGCGTGCCCAAGATCCCAAGAGGAGAATGAAGGAGAAGGGATTGCGGTGTGGCCATCCCCCCTGGGGGGGGATTTCTTGCTTTCTGTCTCTATGTCTCTGTCTTTCTGGCAAGCGCACGCGCCCTATAGCACAAACCTCTCCAAAAAAAAAAAAAATTCTTATATAAACAAAACCTAAAAGAATTTACCAACACCAGACCACTCTGGTATTCCAGGAAAACTGAAGTTGGACACAAAGAAATAAGAACACAAAAAAGAAAATGGCCAGCCTAATGGTAGGGACAAGTACAGAGTTGAATGTTAACTTCCAGAATTTAAACAGAAAGACAAGTATATATCAGCTGTTCTTGCTACTGAAAGTATTTAGATTAACTAAGATCCTTAGTGAATCAATAAAATGTAAAAAATTAAATAAATAAAAATAAAAGGCATGGAAAGCACCTGTAGATACAAGAGACCGTGTGGAAGAAGGGTAGGAAATGGCAGAGGATAAGAGGTAGGGAATCCAGTGGGAGAGGGGGGAAGCAAAATATATTAAGAAACGAGAAGTGGAAAATTATTTGTGGACGATAACACGTGTGATAATATCCTTAACTGGGCCAATATAAGCATATTCTGGATGGAAAATCACATTTTGTATACTGTAATGATGTACTATAAATGAATTTAAATAAATAAATTTAAAATTAGAAAAAAAGGAAAAAAGCTCCTTGATAGTCATATAAAGCTGTTAAGCTACTCTGCAAAATAGTTTGGTAGTTTCCTATAAAATTAAACATTGATTTACCATATGATCCAACATTCATATGCTTGGGCATTTATTTCAGAAAAAAATGCAAGATTATGATCAGACAGATACCTAAACATTAATGTTCTGAGCAGCTTTACTCACAATACCCCACAACTGAAAACAATCCAACTGTCCTTCAGTGGGCAAATAACTAAACAAATGCTGGCACATCTATACAATTTAATACTATTCAGCAATAAAAAGTAACAAACTTTTTGTTAATACAGAGAACATGGACAGATCTGAAAGGCATTATGGTTAGTGGGAAAAAGTCCATTCCAAAAGTTCATATACTATTCTACTCCATCTATCTAACAGTCTCAAAGGGACAAAGCTACAGAGATGGAGAACAGTTTAGCAACTGCCAGGGTATATGGATGGGAGTAGGGAGAGGGTTTGACTAACATGGTAGCTTGAGGGAGCTCCTTTATGGAGAGGAAATGTTCTGTTACCATCACAAATTTACACATGGAATCAAACTGTACAGAACCACAACACACACACACACAAATGCATATAAAAAAATAACAAGGTATGAAATCTCGTTAACAGAACTGTATCAATGTTAATTTCCTGCTTTTGAAATTTTATTAAAATATACAGAATGACACCACTGGGGAAGCTACGGGAAGGGTTCATAGAATTCTTGCAACTTTTGCAACTTCCCCTGAGTATACTAATTATTTCTAAATAAAAAGCCTTCGGACTTCTCCAAAGTACATGAATTATTTCAAAATAAAAGGTTTAAAAATGTCACCTAGAGGACAAAAGGATAAACCATAAGAAATCAGTAACAAAAGGGTTTTTTTCCCCTTACCTTTAGACTCTTTAGATAATTTGAGAGCATACTGGGATGGAACCGATTTTCTTCAGCAACTTGACTATCATATCTTGGTCCTAACATTGTCTTCAGAGGTAAGAATCTTCCTAAACAACATTAAGAAGGGTAATAAATTCCATTAAAGAAAATGTTTCAAGTTAAAATCCTATAATTAGCAATTCTTTAAAACATTTTAAATAGAAAAATAACCTGTATGTATAACCATTAAGTATGTTCACTGTAAATTATACTTGATACTGCCTTAAAATTTTTAAGGATAAAATTAAATCTATAACAGCAAGAGAAAAATTATCAGTGAATAGAACATCCATGAAGACTGTTAAGTTCTAAACTGGTACATTAAATAATTACTAATTTAGGGGCCGGCAGGTGGTGTGGAGGTTAAGGGTGCTGGAGTCCCACATGGCTGACTGAGATTTGAGTCCTGGACCTGGCAGCCTGCTTTCTCTCTCTCCCTCATTTTGGTCAAATTAAAATAAATAAATAAATAAATAAAGTTAAATAAAATAATTATTAAAAAAAAAAAAGCTACTAATTTAAAACCCTTAAAGGTATGGAACTAGAAAATTGATCATGAAATAAATCAAACCAATTCTTTAGAATTACTGATTATATGGTTTTTAATGAGGTTGGAACTTTCTCCACCTGATAGACCTAATGTTATATCTCAAGATAAACATCCACCTAGGATACGCTATCTCGTCAAAAAGAGGCTAACCAAAATCAACCTCCAAACAACCACCAGTAATTATAATTTCAGCAAGAAAGACTAACCTTTTTGAATCATAACATAGAGACAGTCACCTCATACTACAGTTGTACCCTAAGGTCTCATGTTCCAGAACTTGATGGGAGGTCATGAGGCCTAATGGGCAACAATTGAATCATGGTGATTGTATCATGGAGGAAACACTCGTGAATAGATTTATGATGTCTCTCAAGGCCAGAGAGTTCTTGTTCTTATTCTTATAAGAGAATAACCCCCTTTTATAGCTGATTGCTACAAAAGAGAGCTGCCTCTTCCTTTCTTTCTCTCTTTCTTTTGTTTTTCTTTGACACAATAGGACACACTCATTGAAGAGAGAGGAAAAGAAAGAAAGCAACCTCAGTGGGATGGTCACACTGCAATTCTTTCTCTTCGACTCTCCTCTTGGAATTTTGGGCATATAAACACATACACCTGGCATGTTTTTCAAGTCCCCAAGCCTGGAACTGGAACAGGGCTTTCAGTCATATAGGATTCGGCAGCACCTTAACCACCATGCCGCTTGCTGTTCCTAGTCTCCACTTCTAAACCATGTGGACTCCCAAAAGAAGTACCTATCTCCACTCCTGTCTCAATTCAGTAAACACAGAGCAAAGTAAGCTTTTCAGACTGAAGTCAAATCATCTCATCCCAATGCTTTAAAAACTGCAAAGGTTTGCCAGCACATATTAAACCATAAACATAAATGTTAAAATACTGAGAGAACCACTGAGGTGGGAGAAGGGAAGCAAAAATGAAATAAAATACTTTAACACAGCCTGCCAGTCTATATGATCAGGCTATATTCTCCAACCTCATATTCTCATTTACATCCACCAGAACAAATGAGTATTCAGTCCAAGATCTTCCCCATCATCATCCTGTACTAACACAGGACCTTTCCAAAACACCCTGCTATAGTTTGAATATATCCCCTCACAATTCATATGCTAAGCCACTGAAATGGTACTAAGAAAGTGGAACCTTGATCCAAATATGGTGTCAAAAAGTGGGGCTTGGGCCATAGGTGGCATGGTGGTTAAGGTACTGGACTCCCACACAGTTGACCACAGTTTGAGTCCCAGACATGGCAATTTACTTTCTCACTTTCTCTCTCTCTCTCTCTCTCTCTCTCTCTCTCTGATGAAATTAAAAATAATCAAATAAACAGGGACCAACAAATGGAGCAGTCATTGCAGCACTGGACTCCCACATGGTCAATCTCAGTTTGATTCCCAGATTCAGTAGCTTCAAAATAACACTGGGCAGGGAACCAGCAGTTAGCATAATGGCTATGTCGCTGGACTCCCACGTAGTTCACCGCGGTTCGCATCCCAGACCTGGTGGCTTAAAACTCATGCCGGGCGCGTGTGCGTGTGTGCCCAAGATCCTAAGAGGAGAATGGAGGAGAAGGGATTGCGGCGTGGCCATCCCCCCTGGGAGGTGATTTCTCGCTTTCTGTCTGTGTCTCTCTCTCTCTGTCTGGCGAGCGCATACGCCCTATAGCGAAACCTCTCAAAAAAATAAAAAAAAACACTGGGCACATGTCCATGCATGTCCAAGATCCCAAGAGGAGAATGGAGAAGAAGGGATTGCGGCGTGGCCACTGCCCCTGGGCATGACTTCTCACTTTCCCTTTTTGTCCGTCTCTCTCTCTTTCTCTCTCCAGTAAGCACATGCACCCCAAAGCAAACACCTCTAAATAATAATAATAATGAAATAAATAAATAAATAATTCTTAAAAAAAAAAAAGTGGGGCTTTGAAGAAGAGATCAATGATTAGTTGTTCAGGACAGGATCTCATGATTGCGTCCTGGTGGGTTTATAAAGAAAGGAATTGGGCAGGACCAGTAGTTGGCGTAATGCTATGTCGCTGACCTCCCATGTAGTCAAGTGCAGTTCGAGTCTGGACCTGGTGGCTTAAAACTCACGCTGAGCACGTGTGCATGCATGCCCAAGATCCCTAGAGGAGAACGGAGGAGAAGGGATTGCGGCATGGCCATCCCCCCCGGGGGGGGATTTCTCACTTTCTGCCTCTCTGTCGCTCTCTTTCTGGTGAGCGCACACGCCCTATAGCAAAAACCTCTCCAAGAAAAGAAAAAAAAGAGAGAGAGAGGAATTAAGGCAGGCAAAGGCAACATGTGCACTCTCACCAGAGGGACAGAGGGAAAGTCAGAAAGCATCCCCCAGGAGGGATAGTCATGCCACAATCACCTCTGCATTTCTCCCACTTTCAGGATTTGGGGCATGTGTGCGCATGCATCTAGTTTGTGTTTCAAGTTGCCAGTTTCAGGGACTAAACTGAACAGCCAGCCATGTGGGATCCAGCCACCTGGCTGGCCCTACAAGAGGATTTTGAATGTTCCCAACATAAAATAATGACAATGGTTGAGATGATAAGTATATTAAGTGCCCTTATTTAGTTGTTACACACTGTAATCTTATACAGAAAAATCACATTGTACGTCTACAAATATATGTAATTATTAAATGCCACTAATAAGTAAATAATATCTGCAAAAGATTTGGACAGTTCACAAAGAAAATATATGAGGCTCAGTAGGTGGCATGGAGGTTAAGGTGCTGAATGTCACATGGCCAACTGAGTGGTCTGAGTCCTGGACCTGGAGGCTTGAAAAATCACACCAAGTGCATGTGCATGCATGCCCAAAATCCAAGAGAAAAATGAAGTAGAAGAGATTGCAGTATGGACATCTTCCCTGGGGAGTGATTTCTCACTTTCCCTCTTTCTCTCTCTCTCTGGTGATCATAAGTGCCCTATAGAAAAAAAAAAAAAAAAAAGAATAGCCAAAAAAACCCACGATATGATGTTCAACATCAATACATACAATAAGATATTACTGTATATCTATTATAGTGGTTAAAATTACAGACTTGGGAACCAGCAGGTGGTATGGTGATTAAGGAGCTGGACTCCCACATGGCCAACCACTGTTTGAGTCCCAGAACCAGGTGGCTTGCTTTCTCACTTTCCCTCTTTCTCTGGTGTACTCACATGCCACATAAAAAATTTTAAAAAATAATAAATTAATTAAATAAAGGAACAGCAGATGGCATAATAGTTGTGTTGCTGTATTCCCACATAGCTGACTGTGGTTCAAGTCTCAGCTTAAAACTCATTCCAGGCACGTGTGCATGCATGCCCAAAGTCCTGAGAGAAGAATGGAGAAGGGATTACTGCATGGCCATCCCCCCTGGGGTGTGATTTCTCGCTTTCTCGAGCACAAGCACCCTATAGCAAAAATCTCTCTTGAAAAAAAAAAAAAAAGATTAATTCTTTTAATTAAATAAATGTTTTGTTTGTTTGTTTGTTTTTTTAATTTAAATACTAACCATACCAATGGTTGGAGAGAATGTGGACTAAATGGAACTCTCATACATTAGTGGTAGGAATGGAAAATGTTACCACTTTGGAAGAGGTTGGCAGTTTCAGTTAGCCAGGTGATATGGTGGTTAAGGCAGCTAGGATGCCACAATGTCAAGTGCACAATTCAAATCCTGAACCCAGCAGCTTGAAAAACATGCCAGTTGCATGTGCATACAGGCCCAAAATCCTGAGAGGTAAATGGAAAAGGGATGCAGCATGGCCATTTCCCCGGCCCGTGGGAGGGGTTCTTTCTCACTTTCTCTCTCTTTCTGTTTCTCTCCAGCAATTTCATGTGTCCAGTGGCAAATTTTTATTTCCCACCCCTGTGGAAAATTTTTAAAACATCAATAGTAATAACAGAGCCAGCAGCTAGTCTGGAGGTTAAAGCAGCTGTATCTCACATAGTTTGAGTCCCAGGCCAGAAAGCGTGAAAAACACACCAGGCATGAGTGCATACATGTCCAAAATCTCAAGAGGAAGTTGGAGAAGAAGGAATTGTGGCATGGTCATCCCCCCAGTGGATGATTTCTTTCTTTGTCTCTCTTCAGAGAGATGGCCACACCACAATCCCTTCTCCTCCAATCTCCTCTCGGGATCTTGGGCACGCACGCACACACACCCGGCGTGAGCTTAATCCACCAGGTCCAGGACTCGAACCGCGGCCGACTACATGGGAATCCAGCGACATAGCCATTATGCTAACTGCTGGTCCCAAGGTTGGCAATTTTTCAAAAATATACATGTACTGGGATTAACAGGTGGTATGGTGGTTAAAGAGCTGTATTCACACATGGTAGACCAGTTTGACTCTCCAATCTAGTAGCTTGAAAATCACACCAAGCCCACATGTGTACCCAAAATCCCAAGAGAATAGAGGAGAAGGGACTGAGGCATGGCCATCCCCCAAACGAATGATGTCTCACTATCCAGTTTTGTCTCTCAGGACAGCACAAAATCCTATGGCAAAAAAGATCAAAAACATAAATAAATAAATAAATAAATAAGAAAAGAAAATATACCATATTGGGGACCAGCAAGTGGCATGGTGGTTAAAGCGATAGACACTCCCGCATGGCTGACCACGATTCTATCTAGTCCCAGACCTGGTGGCTTGCTTTCTCACTTTCCCAATCTGTGTGTGTGTGTGTGTGTGTGTGTCTGGTCAAATTAAAATAAATGAATGAACAAACAAAATTAAATAAACAATTCGTTTAAAAAAATAAAATATACTACCATATCATCCAGCCCTTCCTCTCCTAGAAGTTTGCATAAGAGAAATAATAATATATGTCCATACAAAGAGTCAGACTCTGTTCATATTGGTAATAGCCAAAGAACTGGAAAAAAATCACAGAGCCATCAACAAATGAGTAAATACATTATGGTGCGTCCATAACAATAGACTACTACTCAGCAATAAAAAGGAATGAAATACTCAAATAGAACAATCTGGATGTATCTCAAAATAATTATGTTGAGTGAAAACCAGATGCATACTCAATAAGAGTACATACTATACGTTTTCATTTATCTAAAAAATTCCAGGGACCAGCAGTTGGCATAATGGCTATATCGCTAGACTCTCATATAGTTGACCACAGTTCGAGTCTCCGACCCCGTGGCTTAAACTCACGCTGGGCGCATGAGCGTGTGTGCCCAAGATCCAGAGAGGAGAATGGAGGAGAAGGGATTGCGGCATGGCCATCCCCCCTGGGGCGTGATTTCTCGCTTTCTGTCTCTCTGTCTCTCTGTCTGTCTGGCGAGCGCACACGCCCTAGAGCGAAAACCTCTCAAAAAAAAAAAAAAAAGAAAGAATAAAAAAGGAAAAGAAATCAACTTTTTTATCATTATTATTTAAAAACGAAACAAAACTTCCAGATTCCCAGTCTTGGTGTCGATCAATTTCACCGCTCGAAACAGCCCCTTCTCCTCCTTAGCCCTCCTCCATCTCAAGACCTCCTCCCTTCTTTTGAAGGGAAGGGTGAGTCCTAAAATGTTCACAAACTTGTGACTAAGCTTCAAAACACTGCCTGCTGCATTCCTAGGTCCTCAGCCCCTGCCACGCAAAGCTCCTGTCTATCCTCCGGTTCATAATACTTATCCTTACAGGGAAAGTGACAAGTGCCCCACCACCACCCACTCACTCCTTCCCATCCTTGTTCCCAAACACTCACCCACCAAGCTTTATCCAACCGAGCACATCTCGGGTCCTGAAATACCACTAGCATGCACAAACCACCAAAAGTTGCGCTCCTCAGTCGGCCCACCCTGAGGACCGTCGGAATTCGAGGATTCGAACACCCCCAACCCAAGTTACCTGCCACCGGCTGGCCGCGCCGCGGACAGTTCAGCCACCGCGGCGGGATCTTGTTGTGAGCCATGTCTCGGGGCCGCGCAGAGTAGCCCCCCTTCACCAGCGCTCGCCTCCCTCTGCCGCCGCCTCTTCGTGGTCAGGTCCTCACTGGGGGTCCGAGAAACCGGAATCCTGACCGGGATCCCAATGCCAGACGCTCCTACTAGAGTAACGTCAGACGCGGCGCGCCACTTTCATTCAGGCTCACCGCTCCAAGCGAGCCCACAATGCTCCGCGACTTCCGCCCCCGAATGCTCCGCCCCCTTCTTTCCGAGGTCAGAGGGGAAGAAAAGGAAGATCTGCCGAGGGAACACAAGGAGTTAAAGCCACGGCCAATGGGAGGGGCGAGCTTCCCTCGCCCCGCCCCTCCGAGATTCCTTGGCCCGCCTAGGTTGCCTGTGCGCCTGCGCATTGTTCCCTGTCCCTCATGGTGATTGCTTTTCGGATCTAGGCAACTGAAAGGAGCCACCCCTCCCCCGACAGAATGAAAAGAATCTTTTCTCGCATAGTCTTGGCTCCCCGCGGTTATGTGCCGTCTGTTTGGTTGATGAGAGGACCCTTCCCACTGTTCTCACAGCTTAAGCTTGACGTCCCTGCGGGATTGAGTTTGAGTTGGAACTTGGGGAAGTTCTCCCTGACGTCCATCTGGGGAACAAGATTTAGAAAAATTCCAAGGGCGAGGGATTGGAGTACCAGAAATAAAGAATTTCTCTTTGGTGGGGAGCGGAGGGTACTTTTGAGGATCCATAAAGCGTCTGAAGTTAATCTCCAAACTTCCTAAAACGCGTTTTGTGTATATTTCTGGAGCAACGTTTCAAATCATAAAGCATATTTGGGAGCCTCAGAAGGTATATATCTTTATAACAAAGGTAGTACTCATTAATATGTATAATTGACAAAGTCAGAATTTACGCAATAGAGTACTACTTACTATGTGTCAGTGTTCTTTGTCTAACAAATAAATGATCCCTATTTTCCTTTCAAGTTAGGCACAAGTGCCCACAGTAAAATGTGAGTGTGAGACTGTTTAGAATTTTTTTTTTTTACTTTGCTGCAGGGCACAAGGGCATGCCAGAGAAAGAGAAATCATCCTGGGGGTGGGGGCGATGCGCAGTCCCTTCTGTGATTTTGGACAGCAGGCACAGGCTCCCGGCATGTTGTCCAAGCTATGGAGTCAAGGACTCAAATCACTCTATAGCCATGTAAGATCCAGCTGCCTTCCCACCACCACTACTGGCTGACCCTGGACAATATACTTCTTTTTATTTTTTTCTTTTTTTGGAGAGGTTTTTTTTGCTATTAGGCACGTGTGCTCACCAGAAAGACAGAGACACAGAGACACAGAGACAGAAAGCAAGAAATCACCCCCCAGGGGGGTGGCTGCAATCCCTTCTCCTCCATTCTCCTCTTGGGATCTTGGGCACCTACGCACACATGCCCAGCGTGAATTTAAACCACCAGGTCCCGGACTCGAACCGCAGTCAACTACGTGGGAGTCCAGTGACACAGCCATTATGCTAATTGCTGGTCCCAATATACTTCTTTTTTTTTTTTTTTTTGGAGAGATTTTTCACTGTAGGGCGCGTGCGCTCGCCAGACAGACAGAGAGAGACAGAGAGACAGAAAGCGAGAAATCACCCCCCCAGGGGGGATGGCCACACCGCAATCCCTTCTCCTCCATTCTCCTCTCGGGATCTTGGGCACGCACGCACATGCGCCCAGCGTGAGTTTTAAGCCACCAGGTCCAGGACACAAACCGCGGTCGACTACGTGGGAGTCCAGCGACATAGCCATTACGCTAACTGCTGGTTCCCCCAATATACTTCTTTTTAAAGAATTATTTTATTTAACTATTATTTCTTTATTTTAATTTGACCAGGAGGAAGAGCGCAAGAGAGGGAGAGAGAGAAAGTGAGAAAGCAAGCAGCCAGGCCCAGTACTGGAACTGTGGTCAGCTATGTGGGAGTCCAACGCCCTTAACCACCACCATGTACTGGCCCTGAGAACGTACTTTTTAAAGATCTAGTTGAAAACTCTGCTGGGCAGCTTAACTCTTAAAAGCCTGGATCCTCTTAGAAAGAGTCATGATTCTCTGCCTAGCTATCTATGTTGGTGCAGGCAATAGGGTTTTGCTATTTGGGCCATATGAGAGTCTCAGATTCCAATCCCAGGTCCATCTGAACACCCTGGGTGTGCCCACACCCCGTGATCCAGACTGGATGACTGAGAAGAGGACCATGGTTTGGCAAGACCCTGTCATGAATTCCTCTTTCTCTGTCTTTTACATATATATGTATATGTGGATATGTATGTGTGTGTATCTGTTTTTTACATATATGTGTAGAATGTATATAACTTTATTACAAAGAAATAAAGAGATAAGTTTAACATGTTTTAAATGTTATTTCAATGTTGTTCTGAAAAGAGGGAGGAGTATCCCACAAATAGAGAAAGGCCCAATAGTTTATCTCTCAAAATGTTCAGATTGTCCCCCAAAGTTTCGTGTTTTAGAATTTGGTGTTGGAAGCTGGTGAAGCCTGTGGATGGTGATTGGCTCATGGTGATGGCATCATGGAGGCACCACTCTCATGAGCAGATGTATGATGTCTCTAGAGACCCAGTGAGCTCCTGAGAAGGGGTCAGTTCTTGTGAGAGCCAACTGTTATAAAAGAGAGCGGTACAAAATTTACTTACTCTCTGCATATGCCTGCCATCCTCTGTGTTTCTGTCAGCCATATCCTAGGCCATCCTGATCCCAGGCCTACACCTTCAGACTTTCTAAATCGAGAGCTGAGTCACTAAGCCCTTATTTCTCTCTTTTTTTTTTTTTTTTTTTTTGTTTTGTTTTGTTTTGGAGAGGTTTTTGCTATAAGGTGCATGCACTTGCCAGAAAGACAGAGAGAGACAGAGAGACAGGAAGCAAGAAATCACCCCCCAGGAGGGATGGCCATGCCACAATCCCTTCTCCTCCATTTTCCTCTTGGGATCTTGGGCACGTACGAACACGCGCCCAACATGAGTTTAAGCCACCAGGTCTGGGACTCGAACTGCGGCTGACTACATGGGAGTCCAGTGACATAGCCATTACGCCACCTACTGGTCCCACTCCTATTTCTTTATAAATTGCCCAATCTAGGTATTTCTATTGGCAACAAAATAAGGGACTAAGATACCGCGACAGCCAAAGTTCATCTAAAGCCCTAATCTGCCCAGCCATCACATCTGCTCAGGCCTTTTAGTGGAAGTGGCTGGCTTCTACTCACAGGACAAGACCCAGTTTCTTTACCAACCAGCAGTCTGCCCACATAATGTCCGATTAATTTCCTTCTTTGACCACAAAGAGGAGTGGGTGCTATGCCCATATGAAAAGTTTGATTCAGGGACCAGCAGTTAGCGTAATGGCTATGTCGCTGGACTCCCATGTAGTCAACCGCAGTTTCAGTCCTGGACCTGGTGGCTTAAAAAAACTAACGCCGGGCACGTGTGCGTGTGTGCCCAGGATCCCGAGAGGAGAACGGAGAAGGGTTTGCGGCGTGGCCATCCCCCCTGGGGGATGATTTCTTGCTTTCTGTCTCTCTGTCTCTCTCTGTCTGGCGAACGCACGCGCCCTATGGCAAAAAAAAGAAAAAAAAAAAACTCTCAAAAAAAAAAAAAAAAAGAAAAAGAAAAAGTTTGATCCTCAAACCACCTTGAAGGATGGGAAAGGTGAGCCTGGTCTTGGAAGACTATCTCACCATCCCCTCCTGGGGACAACTCTCCTTGGAGACTGTCCTTCCCACACACACTGTGTCTATCCAGGGAGTTCGATCCTAGGCATAGGGAGAGAGTCAGACCACTGATGAGCAGCTATTATCGCCTGTAAATTGGCCATGTGTGCTTTATTTTTACTCCACTATCCAGCTACACCCTCTCCATCTTCAGTGCCACAGATTAGTAGAGCCCTGATGCTCCCAATTGTCCACAGTGAAGGGTAGGGGCATCCAAGTGAGTGGGGAATTTCTCTCTCCCCCCAAAAAAAATATTGAATGGACATACAAATGGAAAATTATCCATTGATAATAATATGTATAATAATATCTTTCAGGGACCAGCAGTTAGCATAATGGCTATGTCGCTGGACTCCCATGTAGTCGACCGTGGTTCAAGTCCTGGACCTGGTGGCTTAAACTCAGGCCAGGCGCATGTGCGTGTGTGCCCAAGATCCTGAGAGGAGAATGGAGGAGAAGGGATTGCGATGTGGCCATCCCCGCCCCACGGGGGATGATTTCTCACTCTCTGTCTCTCTGTCTCTGTCTTCCTGGCGAGCGCACGTGCCCTATAGCAAAAAAAAAAAAAAAACCTCCCCAAAGCAAGATATATATATATATATATATATCTTTTAATGGACTAATAAACAGTGTATTCACTGCTGGGAAAATTTATTTTGTATGCTGGAAAGGTACACAATGGTGAATGCAAATAAATAAGAAATTAATAAAGAAAGAGAAAAATTATTTTTAAAAGAGAGATGCCCACATACAGACCAGCATGGCTCCTTCCTGGCTTATTAGAATCCCCAACTCCCTCCCAAATATGCCTAGCTTTTCTCTTTACTGGCTGTAGATTCTCTTCAGGAGTGAGTTTTCAAACAAGCATCTATTTTGCTCATAATGAAGGGTGTGTAATAGCTAAAATAAGATTGCACGTTCCCTGTTAGCAAAAGAAAAAGAGAACTTTCCCTTCTTCCCTTTTCTTACAGCATTTTCTTGAGAAAATTTGTATTTTTAAGTCCTTCCTCTTCACTTTGATATGTACATAAATCTTTGTGAAAGCTAAATGAGCATTTTACCTGCCTTCCAACCCAGGAATGTTTTTCTTAGGTCTGGGAGTCATCTCTTTGAGATGTGAACATCACAGAAGGTAGTGCCCCTCTGCCTGTAACCTTGGGAGTTTAGCCTAAGGCGCCTTGCTAGAGATAAGAGAAGTGTTGTTCTTCTTTCAGATATTGGCAGTTCCCTAACACAGATGGCCTCTGGCAATAGCCAAGTGACCCTAGAATGAACTATGCAATGCTCTCTTTCTATCTCTCATCAAATTGAAAAATAATAATAATAAATCAAACTAAATAAGTAATTCTTTATAACAAGCATGAACTGTGGAACAATGTACAACAAATGGTACTGCCAAGTCCTCTTGCATGAGGACAAGTTATCGTTTCTCTTCAGAACATGGATGCAATGAATATATGCGCTTGGCTATATAAAGTGACATTT